GCAGAAGCGGTGTTGGTTAGGTTTCTTAACTGTGCAGGTACCCTTTTCCCCAACATTTCCTTATTGTATTCTTTGAGGAGAAGTCACCATGCACAGCCCACACATGATGAGTGGGAGTTACACTCCTCCTTTTCTGGAGTGGAGTACCTACATGCTTTATTTAGAATTCTTCTGCAAAGGAGATTTGGACCAAGATTCTTTCTAAGTAGGTGGGCTTATTTGGGAGTTATACTGATAAGCATTTTATTGCTATAATTCTTAAAAAAAAAAACCAACAACAATAGAAGACAATATGACCATGCCAACATAATGGAATGGCGAAAGCACTAGATTAGGGATGGGAGGGTCTGAGGTTAGAAACCAGCCTGGTTATTTTCCAGGACTCAGGCCCTGGGTCTGTCCCTTCCCCCCGAAAGCTGCTTTGAATGATCAAACGTTCGACTTGGCAATGTCACTTTACTTGCTGCTTTCACTTCCTGGAACAAAGGTTCCATGGTGTGGTCCATAGTTGGTTCCTTCCATTCTGATCAACTCAAAAGCCGTCCCTTACAAGAAGGGTTCTTGGAACACCCCAGGGAAAGTGGTTCCCCCATATCCCAGAGCCTTTTAACCCATTGGCTTTGTATTAATCATTGGCATTATTTATTGTTATCTAAGATCACCTTATTCATTCACTTTCTAGTTCCATGAGCTTCTTGAAGTTGAGGACCTCATCCATCTTATTTCATCTCAGTGCCTAGAAAGTACCCAGAATAAACTGCACACTAAGTTGAAAAGAAGAAACAAACACCAAAATGACCACTGGAAACATCTGCACTGAACATTATCTGAAGCCAAAAATAAAATAAGACAAAACTCTTTGGCAGCTCTGACAAAAAATGTTAAGCCAATCTCCACGGCCGGTATTTCCATGAAAAGGGGTGGAACTCTAAAAGCAAGAGAGATTTTTAGTATCCTCTCTCTGTTTTGGAATTTGATTTCCAACAAGATGGTAGGTATTCTTTGGATCTAGATTATTTTTGCTTAAGAAACTTAAATTAATTGGTATTTTGGCTGCCACAAAGGGGTCCTGACTTCTCTTATTTAACAAATCAATGTCCAGGAAAAAAAAAGACTTTGATGTCCAGAAGAGGGACGTCTTCTTGAGACTCTGAAATGTGAGATGTCAGAAGTACTTCTCCTCTACAGTTGTTGGGAAAAGGAGCAGGTTTATTCTCCAGGGGAACTGAAGCATAATGAAATGCAATCTAAGAGCAGGCAAACTTATTATCTACCAGGGTGGTTGAGTGGTTCCAACCCAATGGAGGGTAGAAATAGGGGCTTTATATTTGGATTTTGGAAAAATGACTCCGTAGCTATATTTAGGCCTGATAGTGCCTGCAAATACCAGTAATAGTGGCAGCCTGTGGCTTGTTCATAACATAATGAAGATATTGTCTCTGAAATTTATCTTGAGGGGGGTGAGAAAAAACACCCTAAGTTATTCATCTGAATGAGAGAAAGATATCTTACTGTGGATGATAAAAGAAAGGCTGCTGCTCACCTAACCGATGGGATGGTGTTGTTTTTTAATTGGGTCTTCAGAGGGCTGCCTTTATACCAGAGACTGCTTGGAGTAAGTGGACCCTGTCACTTTAAAAAAGTCAGAATTTTTCTTTATTTCTCCCACTCTTGGAAATTGCTAAGAAGTAGAGCTATGGCACCATTAACAGTAGGAATCCTTTCATGAGAATATTTTTTCCACATCTCTATGGATAGAAATCCTGGCACCAGGGAGATGGCCTTTTTAAAAATACTAATCTGATGTCACTTGCTACTTAAAACTTATCAACAAGTTCCCACTGCTTTTAGGTTAAAAATAAAAATCTGTGTGGTCTATAGGACCCTGCAAGAGCTCTGGCTGTGGGCAATTGTTCAGCCTCATTATGTGTCCCAGGGACTTTGCACATGCTTTTCTCTCTGCATAAAATCCATCTTCCTTCCCCTTCCTCTGTCTAGTTAAATTCTACTTATCCCTCAGATCCCAGCCCAAATGTCAAACTCGTGGGTCGCTTCCCTGACCTTCTAGATTAGATCAAGCTTCTTTGTTCAACATTTGTAATTCCCCAAGGCTTGTCTTTTTCACAGTTAGTATTAACTGTCACTCCCACTAGATTATTAGGTAGAGACCATGCTTATTTGGCTCACACTAAATGCCATGGCACATAGTAGGTATTCAATGAATATATAGTGTAAAAATGAATGAATGAATGAATGAATGAATGAACGAATGGAGCTGGGTGATACATTCCATCCCTGCACAAATTTTATAAATACTTATTGTGCTATCAACATAAGCAAGTTTTCCCCCTTATTATAACTAACAACAAAAAAGGTCAGTTTTCACTTTGTTTCATATTGACTATGAAGTAGCTAGATGAAGATAAAAGTTAAGTATGTGGGTTTTGTAATCATACAGGTCTAAGTTCAAAACCTGATTGTGGGAAAATTACTTAAAATTTCTGTGTCCAGTTTCCTCATCTGTAAAATAGGTCAGACCTGGGTTTGAAGCCCTGATCCATCACTTGTTAATTGTGTAACTTGGGTCAAGTTAATAAACTCTTCAAGCTTCAGGTTCTATAACTTGTAAATAAAGCGAGGCTAATAAAATCTGTCTGTCTCTTAGGGTTATTAGGAAAATTAATATATACATATAATTTATGTATATATAAAATTTGCTTATAAATATATGAAAGGTGCTCATTCCACGTAGAGTAAAACAATAAAAGCAAATGAAAACAATAGTGTGACATTATTTTTTATCTATCAGAATATCAAAGATAAAAAACTGAGCAATGCATGCTATTGGCAACAATGTAGAGAAAGAGGTTTTTAAACACATTGTTGGTGAAATATCTTTGGAAGGCATTTTGACAATATCTATCAAAGTTGGAAATGCAAATAAAATTTGACCTAGAAGTTTATTTCTCTAGGAATTCATCATACAGGTATCATCACATTTGCAAAGATGGCAATACAGCATTGTGATAGCTCAGTATGGGAATCAATAAAATGATCATCAACAGGACTAGCTTAAAAAGTTATGGATCTGCTAAAATGATCGTTAATGTCCTGAGAGAGAATTATCTCTAAGATACATTATTTGATAAAAAAGACAATGTAAAGAACAAAAAAAGAGACTACAGTATACAAGCATCCAATTGTTTAAATGGGCAAAAAATACTAAGAACTTACTGGAAGCTGTAGTTGCCTCGTAGGGAGAGAAATGAGGGTGCCTAGCTAGGGTGAGAGTTATTTTTCATTGTCTACACTTTCTTTTATAACTGAGTGCAAGTGCATATATATTTTTTTGTCAATCTGAACTTAATTTAAAAGAGCAGAGACTGTGAATTAAAATTTGTAGCTACTGCTACTAAGATTGTTCTTTTTCTTTTTATTATTAGATGTTAAAGTCAGGCTCCCACAGAGCCTTGGCTGCTCCAACAGGAATGATGGAGGTGGGCAGGGTGGCGACATGGTTACTAAGAGGACACACAGGTGCCGGTGGAGAGGCGGAGAAGGCCGGGATTCTGGGCAGTGCGTGTTAGAGAGGAACAGTGGCTTTTTGGGTATCCTCAGAGGTACATAGAAACCAAATCTTACAACAAACATCCTTTTAATACATATTTATTGAGTCCTCATAACTACCTCAAAACTAAGTATTATGCCCATTTAATAGATGAGCAAATAGAGGTTGAGTGGCTGTCCAAAGTCACACACTAGCCATTGGTGAAGCCAGTATCAGACTCCGGGAGTCTTATTCCAGAGGCAAGCTTTAGGCACACTTATAGTATATTGTCTCTGTGTAGAGTTTAGGGATTCTACTGTATTTTTTATTCAGTTTTGGACTCTGGGTCCAAAATAAGCACCCTTTGTTGGAAATGCAGGTCCACTCTGTCCCAGTGACTGCACGTGAAACTATTTGGTGATTTCTAGAAGCTCCTTTATTCCTGGTTTGTGGTTTGTCTAGCTTCACCTCTGTTTGCCCTGGAGAAAAAGGCTGCTTGATGGAATCAAGATGTGTGAGCCCTCCTAGGGTTCTGCTATGGCCATGAACATTTTCAATCAGCAAGGTCAGCTCAAGGAAAAAACACATCGCAGCACATCCCCAGGCCTTCCAGACTGGGAGCTGTATGAACAATAAACATGGTTTCATCCTAAGGACTTCACTTACACTGCTGATCAGTGTACTTAGAAAATTACCAATGCTGTCAGATCTGTCTCTGCCCCAAATAAACACGTTTTGGGGAATCTCTTTGGTGCTGATGGAGAAGGTGAGGTTATAGCCTGAGGTTAGAGCATGAATAGAACATATTCAACCAAGTGCCACCCAGATGCAAGTGCGTCTGGTTCCAGTATAAACTGGAAACTTTTTGAAGGAGCTGTCCCCTCCTAGCAACACTCTGCGTTCTAGAATACTCTGAAGTCTAGGACATTTGGAAAGGGCCTACCTAAGTAGTAATTAATTTCATTTGTCCAACTAGGGACAATCAGTTGGTAAATAGATATTTTTCTTTTGAAATTACATTTTACAAAAGGTATTTAAAGGCTTGAGATGTTTTCAATCATTCTACTGCAATATAATGGTTAATTTTAAGAGCTCTGTGAGTTTGATTTGTATTTAAGATTTTTACAGTCTCTATATAGGTTGGTCTTTAATAACCATTTATACATTGCTTCTTTTTATATAGGTCACGTATTCTCCTGGGAGAGTAACAAGATTAGAAATAACAAATACAGTACAGAATAAATTAAAGTGCTTCAAACTGCATTATATAATTCCAGAAAATTGGTTTCACCCTGAAACGTTTAAATAAGAAAACAAAATGATTTATGGAAAAAAATATCCTAGTATATGTCTTTGAATAGCAATTGTTTAGCAGGCTTTATCCTCAGTAGGTGGTAGTGGTATCTGTCCACGGTGCTCCATTTATAGGGCAGTTCATTTGGGTCAAAATGGATAAAATTATCATTATTTGTCTTTATTTAAAAATGTTGGCTTCTTTCTACTTGAAGATGAATAACATTTATTAGTCAAAATGTCAAAGGAGTGTTGTAAAAGTAATTGTATTTTTATATGTAATTCTCCAAACTCTTGTATACAAAATGTTCTTATTACACTCAGTGCCATAAATTCATAGGCTGTTATGGGACAGGAGATAGCGAAATTGGGGCCAATATTTTTCTAATTATTTAGGATAATAAAAAGTGGGGCTTGGTTTTCCCCTCCCAAATAAATAAAGGAGATACGATGCTCCAGAGAGCCTATTATTCTGACTGGGCCTGTTTGTTTCTGCGGAGGTTAGCATCACTCGCTTTGTACTGAGTCCTCAGGCCTTTTTCAATTTTTCTATTCGCGCATTAAAGGCCTCTTCCTGTACTTGCAGCTTTTCGTTTATCTCGGTCTGTGAAGACAATCATAAAAAAGTGGTTATGATGGAGCTATCTCTCGCTGCACATTGTCTTTGTGGTTTTGACATTCTATAGAGCCTAAAGACAGACATTATCCCTCACACACCTTCCTGTTTTGCAGGCACAGCCGTGTTTCAGCCTGTAGTGATGTGATAACACTTTATCATATTTCCCTGCACATTCCCGATGTATAGCATGCCTGCTATGAGCAGGAAGTGGTATTTGGACAGCCATTTTTCACATAGCCTTGTGCTGGGAGATAGGATAATTTATCTGTATTTTCAGACCGACTTTACCAATAAGCACCGAATCCGAATAACTGCTCAGGGCTCAGCTATTGCAGTGTTGTTGGTCGCCCCACCCCTTTGTAATAAATGTTTTTGTCTCCCATGTAGTACATTCTAAATGGGATCCCACAAAGCTTCTGTTGTGAAATAGCAACACGAATAATCTCACGATTAGAACAATTTTCCTAATTAAACGTATTCATCATACATTAGAACTCTTGGAATGATGCCACTTGGAGGTATAGTTTGGGTAGGAAAAAGTAAGTGATTGCTGGCGGGTTTTAGTGTTTGCTGCTGCTGTGATAGCATTTAGCCTCTGGCAGGTATTCTGTGGACTAACTTTGCTACCTGCTCATTTCTAGAAATACTTTCGCATTAACTGAACATTCGTAGCCCTGGAAATGTCTTCTCTTTTTCATGATGGATGATAAAATTATGTGTAGAGAAACCAGTGGTGGGAGATGTGGTAAAATTGGTGTTTTTGTTTGGATGATTTTTAAAAATCTACAAGTGTATGAAGAGCAGTATACACATATGTGTTAATTACTAATTTAAAGGTTGGAATGTTCACATCTATAACACAGTTTGAATTTTTCAGGGTAACTGTATTTTGAGAAACTCTTATTATTTTAATTTATATAGAAATTTTAAAAATCAAATACCTGTTTTGGTCTAGATACAACTTTTCATTCTTATTTATTTGTGTACGAGGGTAACTATAATAGTTTTGAAATGTACATCTTGGTTGCCTTATCTGATGATATTTTGTTTTACCTTCATAGTAAGAATTGATATTTCTAAAAAGATCACATTGGTGTCAACAATTCTACATTCTCATGTGAATATCAGTTTTTTTATTTTTTTGGTTGAAGTTTATCAAGCCTGGATCAAGCTCTGTCCTCTGGATTTTCATTTTTTTCCTTTCTTGGTGGTTGGGTGGAGGAGGCAAGGAGGGATGAAAATGGTCCTGGGTTATAAAGGAACTCTAGCTTTTTAGGAATCTCTAGTCGCTCAGGCACAATTAGGATAGAGCTAAAAGGAGCACATCAGTCTAGGAGTGTGGAGACCTAGGGATTAGTTTAGCTATGTAGCCTTGGGCAAGACCCTTTATCACCTAGGGTCTTAGTTCTTACCTGAAATGGTAAGCAGTTAAAAATATTAGGTTAATATTACATGCTAGCTTTTAAATGTACATTTCCAACTCCGAATTTTTTCATATATTCACCAATATTATATTTCAGTGATATGATGTTGTGAAATATTTTTAAAATATGTTACTCCTATTTCTTTAAGTCATGTAACATATTAGACCATATAGGGATAAAATGGTTGGAAGAAATTGTCTAGTTACAATTCTAAAAGATTGGGAAGCACCACTCTAACTAAACCGACTCTTCCTACTTTCAGTTAGAGTCATGTGCCGCATAGGGACATTTTGGTCAAGACAGACCATATATACAACAGTGGCCCAATAAGATTACAATGGAACTGAAAAATTCCTATCGCCTAGTGACGCTGTAGCATCGCACATTACTCACATGTGTGTGGTGTAAACAAGCACACTGTGCTGCCAATCATAAAAAAGTATAGCACATATAATAATGCACAGCACATACTACTTGATAATGACAACTAACATCTATGTTACTAGTTTATGTATTTAATATACTATACTTTTTATGATTAGAGTGTGCTCTTTCTACTTATAAAAAAATGTTAGCTGTAAAACAGTGACATGTATTACACAGGCAGCCGATTCATACGCCTCGTGGTTACTGTGCTTCCTGATCGCATCACTCTCCCTCGTGCTCCATTTAATCCCGTGTTGTTTCGCACAGTAACATGCGTACAGGCCTGTAGCCTAAGAGCATTAGGCTCTAGCACAGAGCCTTGGTGCACAGCAGGCTCTGTGATGTTGGATGGTAAGGACACCACGCTGCTTGCACAGTGCCTCGACACAATGCTCAGAATGCACCTGTCATTAAGCAGTGCATGACTAAAATGTGTTCTATGTCCATCAATAATCTCATTTCTTTCCAACCAAGGACAGATGTACTATCATCTACCAGCTTCTGTTTCACTGTCTCACCAGGGTTTTTTCCCATTAACCTGGAGACCTTTCTGATATTTCACTGAAACAGGATTCATCTACACAAGTGTGGGCTTTGGGGGAAAGACTCATGAAGGAAAGGTGCACACCTAGCAGAGCGGTGCACTGACCAAGGGGAGTTATGTTTAAGGGGTCTAGAGCACCGTGGCCATCAGGGCTTCAGTTTCGGCACAACCAGCAGAACTGGATGAAAAGACCTCTCCTCTGTCAAGAACAGGTTGTTGTTAGCCTACCACCCCCCTTTGTTATTCCTTAGAACCTCGCTGAGCAGACAAGCTATCCCACAGCCACTAGGATTGGGAAGAGTGGGGAACACATGACCCGGGTTCAGTAGCCTCTCAGTGATCACTACATTGAGGTGATCTCACAGGTTTTCTAACCTGGAAATTCAAGTTGACCTAAAAATACCTAGTCTCAAGATGGCAAACTGCCCTCAAGGGTTTCACTGTATTTTACCCTATTGCTCAGACAGGACCAACAGCCAACATTTAGCAGCAAGAATTTAGTGTTCGCATTCATATTTCTCTGAAAGGTAATTCTTTAAATATATTAAAGTTTGTTCCATTGGGCATAATCTTTTATTATGCAATTTGGGGCCAGAATAATTTCATTTTGAATGTATCTTTAAAATTAAAATAACTAAACTCTATACCCTTAAAGTGTTCGCTCTATTCAGTATAATTTTAATTAACATTTCAGGGCCAAGGTAACTTCATTCTCAATAAATCTCTAAAACTCTAAAGTGAGTCAATGGGAAAGTAAGCGGATTAATATAAAGCATTTAAGGATTCGCACTACATTTTCAGAAATTTCTGAATTATAGAAAGTGAAATATGCCTGTAACCACACTGGAGAAGGGGCTCTGAAAAAAATTGTACTTAGAAATCCACATGATTTCTCTACTGCCTTTTCCTCCAAAAATATAATAACAGTACGATTTTTAAATAAATAAGAAGAAAATCTATTGGAAAATTTTGAACATCTTACAATTAATAATTCATTAAATGTTCCTACAGCAGGCCAGTGTATTCGGAAGGCTTATATATGCTGACCACTGGCATGTGGCTACCTTTGAACAGGGATGTGGCAGTTTTAAGAGCCAGGAACACTGGGAGGCAGGTTTTAGAACTGGAAAATAACTTGCCCATCTAAAACAGGGGGAGAAGTTTAGGTAAGCAGAGAGTAATTGCCCAACTTGGAATCAGACCAAGACACAAGGGCAAACACTGAAAAAGTGCCACACCACGGGAATATTAAAATCCAAAGTAGTCTGGTCGTGATATTAGAGGTTATGTGGTTTTTGTGGATCACTCTGGAATTCAAACTAGAACCCAGTTTACAGCTCTCATTTCAAGTCTTTCATCAGCTTCTGACCTTGGAAACTCTGGACAAATGACTCAGTCTTCCTGTGTCTCTCGTTTTTCAATTCGTCAGAGAAGTGCCTGCCTAATTTGCCTAGAGTTTACTAGGATTATTGGAAGAAAATACATAAGAAGGTCTGCTATCTTGAAACTTTGTATAAATCCACATCATTATGTCATTTTATTGAAATATTGGCAGTAATTTGGCCTAGGTGAATCCATGAACCCACTTAACATGGAAATGATCGTAGCACCTACAGGATCTGCATCCCTCGCCTCTGGTCCAGGTTTGTACTATGTCTAATTATATTTAGATGACCCAGCTAATGAACTTCCAAGCCCAGTGAAGGATAGCTGCAGGCCAGTGGGACAGTCATGCACACATACAGCAATCAGATTCTTTCTGTTACAGAGTAGTGTTATAAATGCTGCAGACTCTAATATTTTAAAAAAATCAATGAATAGTTAAAAACACACTCACTACATGGAACATGGCCTTGGTAAAGATGTTTTCAATTTTTGGGGCCTGCAAACAATTCTATTACTGTCTGGTAGTTCCTCGGCAATAATTTCAGAGCCACAGGATTGCAAAGGAGCCCAGGGCCATGATTATACATAAACTATATTTAGATGAAATGTTATCAAATCTAAAAAGGAGATATGTTCTGAACTCAGCTTAATTCAACTGCACTCTGCCCTCCACACAGTAACCAGTTATTACATTCATGGGGTTGTTAACAATAAAGCTTTGTGTAAAACGTGTTCTTCCACTATTTCTGGTAAACACTAAATACTCCTTATTAAGCCAAGGACTTTGGCTGATTCTGTTGGCATCAAATCATTAAATGTTCATGTAAAAAGTGCATTAACATTTGATGATTAAACAGTAACAAGGTAAGCTTATGCCAAGCTAATCTTTTGCTCTTTCTAAATTAGTTGTTAGTACAGTCTGCTTTTTATATACAGTCTCATGCTCAGATATCAACTAAATCTTTTCCTAAGATGCATTAATATTTTAAACATGCAGTAGACTGTCTTATTGATTCACAGTCATTTCCACGAGAAATTATAAATCCTCTCAAAATATGCAATTCACTTATTTAATCATTTTTCCTGGGCAATGATGCAAGTCTTTGTGTAGAGGTAGAAATGTTTTTGGGGTTTTTTTTGGATGGGAAAAAAAATTAAGCATAAAGCTAAGCCGACTGATCCGTCACTGGCAAGTGCTGCTGAGCTGGCTGCTGCCATCACGGTTTTCACACAGCCGCTGGTGTAAACTGCGTAGCTCTTAGTGATATGTGAAAAGGAACAAATTATCTGAGAGGGAGTTCAAAGATTTGAAAACCTCTTTTTAGAAATTTGGTGAGAAATCTTAGCTGAGAATTCTGCTTTGATCTTCAGTGTTTACTGTTTTTAGAAATGTACTCTAATTACTCTCACATGAGCAATTTCAGTGTGACAAGGCACGAAGTCTTTACAATGTTATTTTTTGGGTTTTGATGCCGAATGAGTTTTTTAAACTGATAACACTCACCACACTATGTGCTGTTGGCGAATTTATTTTGTGATCTTACTGAGTCTCAGATGACTCAGCGGAGAATTCTGTGGAGATGTGAAACTGAACTCCTCCATCATAGGCATCACTCTTGCTGGCTGAGTGTAGGTAGCACTTACAGATATTAAGGAGAGGTTGGCTAATTAACCAGTAACCAAGTAAGCGAGCACACTATCAAAGCTGAGTACCTGAAGGCTGATTAAAATGTCATCTGTGACTTGAGCCAGCACTGATTTCACATCTTCAATGGTGAAACCAACTAAAGCATCTGTTTCTGAAGTGGTGGCTGCTGGGTGGGACTCCGTAGGGCTTTGCTCTTGATCCAATCTCTAGAATATTGAAAGTAAACAACGCTCAGGAGATATCTGGAGCACTCAGGGATTTATATGGAGCCTCAAACTTCTCCTGGGTACTCTTCCACCAGGAGTGATGTCAATCTGCCAGGAGACGGTAATTTGACATCACCCTGTATTTTCATTATTTGTGAGCGTCATGACAGATCAAGTCATAGTGCTAACAGTGCTTACTTTGGGGAAAGTGAAGGTGGAGATTGGAGAGGATAGGGTGGAAAAGATTAAAATTCCCGAACCACCCTCAGCTGGCCCATCTGTGAATCAACGGTATGACAAACATTAATATTTGGCTGGGAAATACCGGAGTGAGAGCAAATGGAAGAGCATTTGCTTCCTTCCCTCCTGCCCGTAAAGCATACCACACTGAGATAGGTGAATTAAGAGACAAAAGGAAGCATACCTTCATTTCTATGTCCAGTGTTGGGGCTTGCTTTATGAATGTTGAGTAAATATCAAATGAGATTCCTTCTTCTAGAGGGTTGGGGAAAAGGCCACCTGAAGGCTTGACAACCTCTATCATTTGCTGGAGGGGAAGAAAAGAGCTGTATTATGAAAAAGCCTTTTGTGTGTAACCATAATTTACAATTTCAGCTCTGCATCTGATAATTAGCATTTTATTCTACCCACTGTCTAATTCTCTTTCTATACAATGTGGTTGAAGACTTCATTGTGTACTTTACTCTGAGCTTTAATTGTCCATGAGTCAGTGTCCCCTTCCTCCTGCTTACAAGGGGCCATGGTTTAGATCCCCTGTATATATTCCCCATTTTGGCAGACGGTTAGATGCTTAAAACACTCAATAACAGCCTGATGGTGAATTATATTACTCAGCAAGGTATAGCTGTTCTTGGGGGCAATAGTAAAGTAGCCATCAAGAACTCGATGGTGAACCTCATAAAGGCTATAAAGGTTATTGTACAAAGCCAGCACACAGTAAATCAGAAACACTTGCAAAATCAACCAAGAACACAGAGGGCAGGGCAAGATTGCACTGTGAACATTTAATAATTCTGCAGCAAGAGTGTGAAATAGAGGAAGGGGGATGATGGTTGGTCAACAGTGGAAATGAAGAAACAGGAGTTAAAGAAGCCAACTTAAGTACCAGGGTGTCCACCCCACCACAGTTTAGGGGACAGAGATGAGGGTACTGATGACATTAAACATCTGAATCGTTTTGTTAGCTCCTCTTGTTCTGATTCCATGTTAAGCAACCAATATTCTGATCATAATTTGACTTTCCATCTCTCAAGTGACCTATAAAGATATGTTCACTTCAGTGCTCTGATTCTCATGCTTATCACATTCCTTACTGTAAATCTATAAATTGATATTCTAGTTTATATAGTAAGCTCCATGAGCTTGTTTTTGTGGGCCAGAGATGAAGCCACCCACTATATGCTAACAAAGTCAGACCCTGAGCCTTCAAGTTTGAAGACAATACTCTGGAAATGAATAAATTCACCAAATAATTACCACCCCATGAGTAGCAGAAAAACCCTAAAATCATCATACATTCATTTCTAATTTCACAATATTTCACATAAACTTAATTTATAATATTTCATCACTTAAATGTTAATGTTTTTATTTATATAGCTTTTGAAAGGTACTGGAAGCTAAGTTATTGCTTGGTCATACCAATATATTTTACATTGAATTCATATTTTTAATTTTAATGGGATCTTATAGAAAGTTGCTGCTTAGTATATATACATAGTAGGACTGAAGTGTTCTAACTTTACAGTCAAGTAAATTTGGAAACCAAGAGATTAAATGACTGGCTTAGTCAAATAACTGCCTAGTGACAGGTCTAGGAGTTAAACCCTGGTGTGCAGAGTTCTTGGCCTATCCAGTGTTCAGTGAACTGTAATAAGTCATCAGGCTGCCATACTTGGAAACTATTGATATTATTAAGCACTTAATCTCTATTCTGTTAGATGGTGTCATTCCATATTCTTTATCTTAAGTTGACTAAATAGTAATCAAAATAGATTATCAAGAAAACGTATAGGAACGATTCTTTTCTCTCATCACATTCATAAGCTGCTGTTTTTCCCCTAAATGGGGCAGACGAGCATTTCCAGCTTCCTACAGAACTATCTGCACCCTTTTCTCCATGCTTATGCCTCACATGGCTCTTAACTTCACTAAGCGAGGGAAATGAAACAGCTCAGCGTCTCTCAGGGTCCTCTAAAACATTATCGGTAAATAAATAGCAGCGCATGGGAACACAGGGGCAAGGGGAGAGGAAGAATGGTCTAGACTTCAGTGTAGGGTGAGAAACAGAAATGTGGTGGAGTGGTGGTGGGTGAGCCATTGAAAAAAGAAGAGAGAAAAGAACTGAACGGAGGCTGCTGAACTGACCGCAGGCATTGACAAAGTGAGCAGGAGCTAACCCGACAGGCACAAGTATGTCCTCATGAAGCCGAATTTGATTTGGTGCTGTGGCCCCATTTGTCTTGTTGCTATGCTTTTCCATACACAGGCGAGGCCTTCCTGCTAATTCTCTCACCTCCAGGTGGAAGTTCTCAATAGATTCCCTCTCCATTCTGTTAGGAGCAGATTCTACCATTGTTCCCCCTGTGCCCCATCTTCCATCACATTATACACTTATATGTAGCAGATATTTGTGGTCAAATGTCTCATTTTATCCCTTACACCCCTCCCTGTGGCCTGGATTTCTTTATAAGGGTAATCTGAACTACTTGCCAATTACCCAGCTCTCCTGGTCTTTGGCACTGGAACTCCTCAGGTCCACATTATTTCTTTGGTGGAATGAAACTCCCATTTATCCCAAGAACCTGAAGCTCTGACTGAGAGTTCGGCTTTTCTCTTCCTTGACTTTTACGAGTGTGGCTCATACAGTGAGTCACTTGATTTAATTTGTGCACAAAGGTGGGGGTGAGAATTTCTTTTCTTCAGGGTGTTTATACTATTAGTGAATCAAACCATAGCTACACTTTTCTTTTTCATGAAGAGTTGCATTTGGCTGTGTTAGTAAGATACTGTAAGGGAAAAAATATCCTAATTTCAGATGAGGGTAAATATAAAGTCATTTCACTAATAAGTGAAATATATAGTCAAATATATAGTTTGAAATAAACATAGTTCCCAGAAGCATCACAGTGATTTCCCCACATTAAGTAGCATTTTTAAAAAACAACTTTAAGAAAAATTAGAATCAATAATTGTGGTGAGAGCACAGAGCCAGCAAATATGTTTAAATGAAACCGTCTGATGCAATACTTTCTTTAAAAAAATACAATTAGGCCTTTGTATTTTTTTTTTTTTAACAAAACCTCATGTTTTACAACATCACTGGCTCTGTAATAAAATCTATTTAAAACAGAGAGACATGGTCAGCTTTATTAAGTTAGATTTTCTGAAAGAACGTTATAATTTCCTCAAGTCTATGAATAGTTGAAGCAAATTAAATAAAGCTAGCTTTAAAACTATTTTTATACATTCCTGTAGAATTGTAATTGTCTCATATTTTTTTCCTCAAAAGTCTAATATGTTACCTCTTAAATCTAGAAAAATAAAAACAGAAAAAGGATCAAGTATGTTTATTAAAAAAACACTCCTATTTGGTGCCCTGATTTAGCAGCCCCCCTTTCTTCAATGAGAGAATCGCACCCATAATCTCCAGATCAAGAAACAAAGGGAAAGACTTTAAGTGACTTGCCTGGGGCCTAATGCTGAGATTAAAGCTCAGGAGTTTCTGATTATGCACATACATCCATTTGGCCAAATGATTGGTTTTGCTTGACTTTCAAATACCCCCTAAATATTACTTTGAATGTAAAGCAATAAATGTGTTTCTCTTGCCATTTTTGAATGCTTGCACACAAATGGATATAATAAAAACAATCATGTTGTTCCATGTGAATGCCATTTATATTTTTTCAGAAAATGAGCAGACCATTTGAACCAAGGTGAGTACATTAAAAGCTCTAATAAAGAAGAGAATAGATTTCTAAACTGAATAATCGACTGTTAAGTGAACATACAATAAATAACATCTACAGATGTGGTTGCTAGAAAATTAGTTTTATATAGCTTACCAATACACATTTCCCCCAGATGTTATCTGTTACATGGAAATTAACTTAAGTTAGTTATATTGTTCTTTACGTGTACATTTCATTAGTGTTATTTAAGACGGTTTACATTTTGAGCTTTAGTCAAATCATGCTATGGTATTTAAAGAATATGAAGTAAATGGCTTTTTGGCATAATTTCATACTCATAAGAACAAAATTTCATCATCGACCATTATGTAGCTTTAAAAAAAATCTAAGATCTTTACTTCCAAGCCAAATAAAGTCACTAGAAATCTTTTAAGAATTTACATATTCAGTATGAAATGGATCTCTATCATGGGAATAAATGATAAGAATTTTGAACCCTCCTGGAACTAAGTACAGGGTCAGTTTAGGTCTAAAAACATACTTATAGGAATTAAAATCCACTTTCAGATCTCACTGTGTCTAAGAACTATAAAGATTTTATCTGAAAAATGTTACTTCATGCTTTCTTTTTCTATTTCACGTGAAAACATTATTAATAGTACTAACTCTGATTCAGTTTCTCTTTGTTGTTGTTTTTTGTTATCGTTTGTGTTTATTGCTATTTATTTGTTTATTATTTTCTCAGGAGAAAGGTGATTTGTGGGTAGTGTCTGTACTGCTGAAATTTATGATTAAGGTGTCAATTACTAAATTATTCAAGATATTAAAAATGTCATTGAGATGACAACTTTCCACTGTTTTGAATGGGAGAAAGCAAGATAAATCTGTTAAATCCTTTTGGAGTTACAGGAATACATACAAAACACTGGTTTGCTTAAAAAAGACATTTGTTTGTAATTGTGGAAGAATGACTTCATATGTAAATCAGAACTTACTAAAAAATGTCAAAGTTTCAAATAGCAAACTTCATTGCAAACTTGTCCCAATACTAAAAAAAAAAAAAGGCACAAAAATTCCTGTAATGTTTTAAGTATTTTTCCCCTAAAAGAGAAAGGCATGACTGATTTGCAAGTCTAATTAAGAAGGACTTGTGTGGTTCTGGAAATTTTTAACAAAAAAATTGTAACCCATTGCCCACAATATACTGCACGTAAAATAACAACATATGAATGCCACCTGCAAAATGCAATAAACTCTGGCAATGTCATACTGAGGCCATAAATTTAAAATCAAAAGAGAGTAAATTCAAAAGCTACGATTATCAGAGAAACTAAATTAATTCATTTCTAAAGTGTTCTCCTTTTGTGTTTAAGCCATTACAAACTTCTTAATATACCCTGTAAATGTAGAATATCAATTCTGCTACGAGATCCTCCTCCCCCCTTTGCATTTTTGACTTGGAAATAAATTTGCAAATGCAGCACATTAATTTTCTTTCCTATGCTTAATATGCAGTATTTACATTTTGAAAAGGTTCAGAATGTTGCCAGGCTTCTGCAGGGTATGAATAGACATCTAATAGCAACTTCTATTTTTACTCACAGCATACTGG